ATCTCTTTGAGTGGGTCTTGCGTTTGCATTCTCTACAGCTCGATGGATGAGTCTTTCTCAAACCCCAAAGGCTCATTGTCATAGATGCAATCGAGCCTCCGGCTTTTCGAAGTTATTTTTTGGCCTTGTCGACTAGTCAACTGTGCATTATTGTCGATCTCACTAGCTATGTTTTATCATTTTTCTACTTCTAGTGCCGACTTTCTCTTGTGTTCGGCCAAATAGGCCAAAATTTGAGTCAAGCTCTTTGACTCAGTAGTCATTTTCATCAATTGTTGGTCACCTTGTGGGTGGAAGTCCTTCTGTAGGCACCATTGTCTTGTCATCAGCATCCCAAATAAATCCATAATCAAGATCCAAATTTAGGACGCGACCCGTATCAACAGAAGTATAAGACCCTAATCCATCGTCATAAGGTGGCACATTTTCTATGTGTTGGTCAAAATATTTCTTCGTACCCTTTGCTTCAATGATCTTATAATAGATTTGATTAGCTTCAATATTTTCGACGATGCCATCTTTTCTCCAAATGCTTAATCTCTGGTGTAAAGTTGACGGTATTGCCCCTATCGCATGGATCCACTCTCGATCCAACAGCAAGTTGAAATTGGCCTTTGAGTTTATAACCATGAAAAGTATTGATCGGGTGGTTGTACCTACGGCTAAGTCGACTTGGACTACCCTAAGAATGTTGTTGGTTTTCCTTTCATAATTAGATAAAACCATGTTATGTTGTCGGAGATCAGTTTTAGTCTTCCCAATCTTCTTAAACAGCGTATGAGGCATTAGATTGACATTTACCCCTCAGTTTATGAACATTTTGTTGACTGCCACTCCGTCGACCTTCGCTTTTATGAATAACGGCTTTAAATGGTATATCATTCCAGGACTAGGTCTTTCAAACATGGTTGTTCGTTCTTCCAACACGCCACTATTCATAACATAATAACATAGTGGTTTGTCCTCCGTAGTCTCGTCTGGCACGAAATCATCTTCTGCTTCAGAGACTTCTAACACCCTATCATATTCTGCCGACAGTATTGACACGATGCCGCAATTCACGATGAAATTCTCACCGTATGTTTCATCCTTGGTGTCGTCGTACATATCTTCGTCAAAATCGTCTTCTGGTGACGGGGTATATTCCTCATCTGACTGGGGAGTGTACTCTGGTTCTTTCTTGTCCTCAACCCCAGATGTGTACTTCGAACTTTGGGTTGACACCACCCACCTTCCTCCTGAGGCTTCCATAGTCACTGCCGTAGTTTGACTTGTCACGATTTTCTCCTTCTCGACCCACTGTGCCTTTGGGTATTGCCTTTTTAGTCCAGAGGTTCCGACAGGCTTCATTTGTGAAGTCGAAGCCTCTTTGGAAGCCTTTTTATTTCGTTGATACCGCCTCCACTAGGTCCTTGTCATAGGATTCTTCCCTTTGTAATTGGGGGAAACCATATAGCCCCTAGGTTCAGTCCTCTTGTCGGCCTAGATCCAACACCTTCCATTTCGGCCTCTTGCTCCCCTTCTGGCTCACGGGTGCCACCCACTTATCCTGTGGAGTGTCTGATGGCGACACAAAGGTCTTGGGTCGCACCTGCTGAAACAGCTTCTTGTACTCTTCGTTTCGACGAGGAGCACTGTTCTGGTCAAACACAGACCTTGGGACTAGTGGCTTACTATCTTGCAGTGCCACTTTCCTACCATCTTCATACTTCTCAGCAGCCTTTTCATCAAAGATGGAATTGCATCTTGGGCTTAACACAACCTTCGACCCGCTCACCCTGCATTTCTCTTGAAAATCCGTCAAACTTTCGCCAACCTGAAGGTACACTGCCTTGAGTTCCTCCTCAGATTTCCTGTCGGGACCATCAGTAGTCTCGACCATCATGCATTCAAGAGTTTCGGTTGTTGAGTGCTTGTTAAGGTCGCAAGTAGTCTCAACCATCATACACTCATACAGCTTAGAGTATAAGGCCTCTTCGACCTTTAGAGGGTCCGTGTCAACTTGCGTCTTTGGCCTTTCGCCAAATTGAAGACGATCTTTCTTCAAAGCTTTCTGCACCAAATCCCTGAAAAGAACACATTGAGATGTCTTATGACCAAGGAAATTATGAAATTTACAAAATCCTTTTTTCTTCTTTTGTTCTGAAGGGGGGTCTTTTGCCCCATAAGGGACAATAATTTGACCGTCTTTAACTAATAAATCAAATATTTCGTCGCACTTAGATACATCAAAAATATAAATTTTGGGACGTATTTATCTGTTTTCTCAGTTTCGATAGGATTTTTTCCATTTGATGGTTTTAATGATTTACATGTGTAAGGAGGCCCTAGCTTGAGTTCAGTCACGTTAACCTCGCCTTCTTCGACAAGCTCCTCATCATTAGAAGAGAATTCGCCAACGGATATGTATGAAACTTTCTCTTTCTTGCGGTATTTGTTAGTCTGGGTTTTTTTATTTTTTAAACGTTCAACCTGTCGGACCCTATCAGCTAGCTGCGCCACATCTCTGAGATATTGCGTGTCTAACTTTTTCCTAATTGAATAATCTAGGCCGTCAGCCGCCATCTCGACTAGCTCGTGTTCAGGGACTTGCGTGAAGCATCGCGCTTTCAAAAGTCTAAACCTGTTAAGATACTGATCCACCAACTCTGTGGCCTTTCGTTTAACACTGGCTAACTCTTTCAAACTAATTTCTTATTCTCTCATGTAAAATTGTTCATGAAACAACCTTTCTAATTGTGCCCAGGTATGGACAGACTGTGAGGGTAATGTGGTAAACCAAATAAACGCATTCTTTTTTAGCGAACTTGGGAAATACTTCATTTTCAAGTCCTCGTTGTTTGCTATTTCACCAGCTTCAGTTTAATATCTGACAACATGTTCGACGCTGGACTCTTCGGTCTCTCTGGAGAATTTGGTGAACTTTGGAACCTTCCATCCCCTAGGCAACTCTGTTTGCAAAACAAAGTCTGGTAGTGGGGATGTATATGTTGGTCGTCAAAGGTCTGGGTTCGCTCCATTGCAAACCATAGTCTGTTCCACCATAGCTTTCTATGTTTGGTTCGCCAGCCATGGCTTCGTGTCGAACTTGTCTGACCAACGGGAGGCCTTTGGGGCACCCTAGGTGTGTGTTCAACCTCATGTGGTTGCTGGTCAATTATTTCGTCGAAGACTTTGTCTTGTCGAATTGGCGTCTCCTGTCGAGGCGGAGACGTCCGTCGACCCGGAACCCTAGGAGCGCCTAGGAAATCACCTATCTATGTCATCTGAGTCGCCAATTATTGGTAACTCTGGATCGAATCTTGTATTAATGGTCTTAATATGATGCTCATTTGCTGGGTCAACATGTGAACCATTTCGTGATTACTTTCATCCATCTGCTGTCTAATAATGGCGACGGAACTTGAGGTGAAAGTTGGAATTGATTGTGACAGAAGACTAATCCCTCAGGCCCTAGTGACTTGATCCGCCAAAGGCCCTAATCCTTGATACGGTGAGAAAGCTGACGATGAACTTTCTCCAAAGAGTGGACCACTATGATGTAAGCTCGACATGAACTTTGTTGGCATCCCAAAGGCTCGAGGCGTAGGCATTGTGAAACTAGGCACATACTGCCCCCCCTCCCCCCCAGTTCCTGTCATCATAGGCCTAGGTTCAGGTCAACTTGGCGTCACGACAGGCCCACTATGTGCAGTCGAAACCGCAGACACAGTGTCAACGCCAACATTAGTTGTTTCTGTCACAATCGTATTTCCCTCTGAAGACGGTTCTTCGTTTGGACGTGGTATCGTCATCTTACCACTACGTAAATGCATACACCCCAACCGACGTATCCCACTATGCGTGCCAATTTGTTCGCAAGCAGTTTTCGCGCGAACAACCTCTGACCTCCTAACGCAGGTTTACTTGCTGACCGACCAAACAAGTTCCAGAACGGTCTGGTTGAGTCTATGCGATACTGGTAGAATGGTTTTGTTTAGAATAAATTGGAAATAAACTTGAAGAAAAAGTGTAACAGACAAAATAAACAAGAAAAAAGGCAAGATATCTTAAAGTTTGGTAATGTAAATTGTTTTTAAAAGAAAATGTGAACGCTATCATACATTTTGCAGAAGTAAACTCTTTTCTCTGGTACTTAGAGAGTATTTCCTTCACAATGTCACAAAATGTACCCTCTAAAATAAAAATGGACATTGCTTTAAATAGGTAAAGAAAATAATTGTTGTTCTCTTCATGTTGGTCTTGGTGGCGTCATGTGTCCCTCCACCATCTTTGTGTAACTTCCCCACGTTCTCAGCTTTTCAAATATCTTCTCGCTCAAAGGTTCTCATACTTTGTGTCGGTTTCCTTGGCCATCAGTCGACACCTTCGACGAAATAGCCTTGAGTAACTCACAACACCTCTTCTGCTGACGTCGATTTGCGTCGTTTACTTCGCCATCTTTCCTAACGTGTCGACCTACATGTTAGCTTTAATGTTAACTCTTCTCAGTCAGAATCTTTCAACCAACACTCACTTACAAAAAATGTAATGTATATGAAATGCATAGGGAAATATAAATTTCAAATTTATGTAGGACAATTGAGTTTTAATAAAATGGCTCTTTAGGAAGAGCAACCTAAAAAAAAAAATGTATTGCTTACAAGGATGCTTTCTCCTTCATTCGAAGGATCTAAGCTCTTTAAGAGGTGTCTATTTTTTATTTGTTGTTACCATTGGAGATTAACTCTAACTTTTGTTGCTTTAATAAAAATAATCCAAGAACACGTTGAAGTTCTGTTGCGCTCATCCTATGTCAGGATTAACAAGACCGCAGCACCCAAACTGTGCAAACAACCATTATGAAAATTTAAATATATACTAACATTAACATCTTTCAATGCATCATCATGTACGATAATATTCATGTACCAAGTAAAGAATGTACAATAAATACCGCATTAAGGTCTTAAAGATGTTCCAACCTTGAGATACCAAGCAAAGCCCATCGATTTAGAGAACTATGAAGATTCACCCTCCGGCTTCAATGATCCAAAGTTACTTTGTGCAAGGGAAGCAGCGGCACGAGCAGCCACAGTTGCACGATTAGCAGAAGCAATGGCGGCCCGAGCCTTCTCTAATATATCAGAGGATTGAAATATGGTCTCACTTTTAGCATCATTAACTTGGACGTTGTTATTTTTGTGTGACTGCTCAATTTCATTGGTGTTCAACCAAGAATTATTGTTAGAAGGGATGGAAGTTTCAACGTGTGCATATTGTTGTTTATTGTGCGTAGATTTGATAGAATGGTCCGAATTATAAGCTGGCGAGTTAATGGAACTGTTTTTGCTGGAAGCATGAGAAACTGTAGCTTCAACACCAACTTGTTTTGTTCCACCCTACAAGTAATATGAGAAAAACATAATGAAAATAAAGAAAAACGGAGTGAATTCCTTATACTAAAGTCAAGAAGTTAACAGCAACGTACAATGAAGTATATAGAACTTATAAATGTACCACCGATGACAGATGCAAGATATCATGAGGATTTATAGTGAATAACATAATATATATGTCCAAAAATGAGGGAAGAAATAGTCTGAGACTCAATGATGAAAATACCAGGAGATCTTCATGATTTTTCCTAAATTCTGCTGCAGTTTTAGAAGAATCCCATGCTAGATTGTATTCTTCTGCAATATCTGTCAAGACCTTGAGTTTTACCTCTCCAGATGGAGCATTAACTGAAAGCTTTTCAATTATCTGCAATAATAATTTCAAAAAAGATATACTAGTGACATTAAGCAATTGTTCAATTGTTAATACTCCAGTATAATAATCAATAGTTGTTGGGTAATTTGTTTTCCAATGAGAAACCACATCTAAAGATAACTCACTGTGCGGTTCACGCCTGAATCAGGACGAAGTTCAGATACTGCAGAGATAAAGTCTTTCCCATATTTAGTGGTAAACAAGTTCTTGATGTGCAGTAAGTCTGGTATATCAGAACATCTAGGAGCAGCAAAAATTATACTTGCAATGGCTTCTCGCAATTCAGGTGGGCAATCCCTATTATGTAGAAGCAAGGCTTAGACTTCGATTAGAAAAACAGCTTTACCCTAAATTGTACCCAAAAAAAAAGCGACTGTTTGAAAACTCAATTAAGTACTAAAAATAAATCTTGTGAGCACTAAAAATGATTTGGAGTGGTGTACTTTATAAGTATTTACTAAATCAGAATAAGTGAAAGTGCTAAACACCACTTAATGCATGGGAGATCACGGAATGCCTTTCACAGCAATAAAGTTTTACCAACAAGTACATGCACAGAAAATATGAAAAACAAAAGTGTAGAAATCAGAATGTTGCATTGGACGTGGAATAAAATTAGAAGTGACAATATTAGAATGACATTTTATGATTTATATAATTATGATGATTGATATGTGTTGATATTTATAAATATAATGTTAAAAGAATATTTGTATATAGAATAGTTTCACATCAACTATATCATATAATTAGTTGTAATATATATAATAATATTTCCGTAGTATTTCAAAACACACGGTTTATTCAAATGTCTTTTAGTCTCGTATATTTCAACATTGTATCAGAGTATCGTTTAAGATCCAGTGGGCCACCTACTATAGTTTCCGCTATCGGATCACTCACCATTTATTTCGACACTTCAATTGTCAAGTCCTGAACGTAAGGGAGGTGTGTTAAGAGTCTCACATCGGATAATATATGGAATGAATATGTGTTTATAAATGAAGGCAATCCTCACTTTACCAACTGGTTTTGTAGAGTTGAGTTAGGCCCAAACACTATCTTTCGGTGAGAAATTTTTGACAAACTGTGTCATAACTCCGGTTTGCCTTCCATACACTATAGTGACTCATTTCGGCATTAGTTTTTCTAAATTCTCCCGTCATTACCGCACTGTCGCCACCGTCGATATTGTTATCAGCGGCCTTCCAGCAAACTTAACCTACCGGAATAAGCGTCTCCTCCGATCCAATCGTTCCCCACATTTTCACCGGCAGAAACCTCCGCAAGCGCCCTCACGCGCAACACTTCTGGCGGTCAATCACATGATATTTTCTGTTTTCAGATACTCATGACTACTCCTCAGAACTTTATGCCAGACTGCGATGATTTTCTCAGGTGGTATTAAAATTATCAGAACTCAACGGTAGCATACCCTAGTAACTCATCTGCTTGCCTTTCTCAATCATCTTCTCTTAGACCTTAGGTCCTTGATTCTGGTGTGTCTGATCATGTTACCGATAATAAAAATATTTTCTCTTTCCTCTCTACCTCTGGTTTCTTACCTACTATAACTTCTGTCAGTGATTCTCAAACCCGATTCGAAGGGATTGGTACTATTCAAATTCTACCTTCTCTCTCTGTTACTTCTGTCCTCTATGTTCTGAATTGTCCATTTAATTTACTTCCAATTAGTCATTTAACTCGTTCCCTTGATTGTATTGTCACCTTCACTAACAATAATGTTACCCTGCAGGATCAGAATTCGGGACGGACGATTGGCGTCGGATGCGAGTGTCGAGGCCTTTATTATCTCTCAATGTCATCTCAGACATACTCAGCCAAAGATTTGTTAAGAAACGTGGTTGGGCCTAACTCAACCCTACAAAACCGGTTGGTAGAGTGAGGATTGCCCCCACATATATTGTCCGATGTGGGACTCTTAACACACACCCTCACGCTCAGGATTGGACAACTGAAGCGTGGAAATAAATGGTGGGTGGCCTGATAGCGGAAACCATAGAAGGTGGCCCACCGGATCTTAAACGAGGCTCTTGATACCATGTTAATAAACGTGGTTGGGCCTAACTCAACCCTACAAAACCGGTTGGTAGAGTGAGGATTGCCCCCACTTATAAACACATGTTCATGCCATATATTGTCCGATGTGGGACTCTTAACAAGATTCTCCACTCACTATCCATGCTCAGTTAGATCATCCCAGTCTTTCCAAATTACATAAGTTGGTGTCAAATTAATCGAAGATATCTAATTTATATTGTGAGTCGTGTCAGTTAGGGAAACACACTCGTAGTCAATTTTCCAATCGAGTCAATAAACGAGCTTCGTCCCCTTTTGCTTTAGTTCACGCCGATGTTTGGAGCCCTTCGCGTGTTGTCTCTACTGTTGAGTCTAGGTATTTTTGTCACCTTTATTGATAATTTTTCACGTTGCACGTGTTTATTTTTAATGAAGAATAGATCTGAATTTTCTATTTTTAAATGATTTTATCAAGAAATAAGAACTCAATTTGGTGTGTTCATCCGTACCTTAAGAAGTGACAATGCTCGTGAATATTTATCCCAACAATTTCAAAATTTTATGTCACAATGGTATTCTCCATCAAACATCTTACCCTCACACACCTCAACAAAACGGGGTAGTCGAACGCAAAAAACGGCATCTCGTAGAAACCACTCAGACCCCACTTCTCGATGGTAATGTTCCACTTCGGTTTTGGGGGGATGTTGTGCTAACGGCGTGCTACCTTATAAATCGCATGTCCTCATCTGTCCTTAACAATAAAATCCCTCATTCAATCCTTTTTTCCAATTCTCCACTTCACCCAATTCCTCCCCGAGTCTTCGGGTCCACATGTTTTGTGCACAATCTCTCTCTTGGTCTTGATAAACTATCAGCTCGATCACTAAAGTGTGCCTTTTTTTGTTATCATCGATCCCGAAAAGGTTATCGTTGTTATTCACATACTCTACAACGATACCTCATATCGGCCGATGTTACCATGGAGTATGTTCTATATTTCGAGTTCAGTCAAGCAACTCCGGAACCCCTTCAGAAAAGTATTCCCACACCTCTTCCTAAAGTCCCATCTGCCATTGTCCTCCACCCACTTCAAACATATCAGCGTCATCAACCAACGTCTGTCTTACCTATCCCTGAGGTCATTGCAGACTCTCCTCCGACGCTCTCGCCATCACCGGATCCGATCCTACAACATGAGTCTGATCTTCCGATTTCCCTTTGAAAAAGTATACGTCAAACACGAAATTCTTCTCCACATTATATTGATTTATGTTATCATCGTCTTTCCCCTTTGCAGTATATTTGCTTGTCTTCTTTGTCTTCTATTTCTATTCCTAAATCTCCAGGTGAAGCATTATCTCACCTTGAATGGAGGCAAGTAATGATTGATGAAATGTGAAAGCAGTGGTACCTAAGAACTGGTTCCTCTACCCCCTAGAAAATCTTTAGTAGGTTATCGTTGGCTTTATGCAGTGAAGGTCGGTCTAGATGGTAAGATTGATCGATATAAAGCTCGCTTGGTAGCTAAAGGATACACTAAGATTTTTGGGTTGGACTATAGTGATACCTTCTCACCGGTAGCCAAGATGGCATCTGTTAGACTTCTTCTAGCCATTGCAGCCATTCAACATTGGTCTCTTCATCAACTTGACATCAAACGCCAACATTGGTCTCTTCATCAACTTGACATCAAAAATGTTTTTTTACATGGTAATTTTGAAGAGGAAGTATATATGGAGCAACCATCTGGGTTTGTTGCTCAGGGGGAGTCATCGAATATGGTGTGTAGGCTACACAGGTCTCTTTATGGTCTTAAGCAATCCCCGAGAGCTTGGTTTGACAGATTCAGCACTGTAGTACAACAGTTTGATATGGTCCGTAGTGAGTCTGATCATTCTGTTTTTTATCGTCACTCAATCCAAGGGTATATTTATCTTATTGTGTATGTAGATGATATTGTCATAGCTGGTAGTGATCAACAAGGAATACTCCACAGTTAAAACAACATCTCTTGAATCAATTTCAGACAAAATATCTTGGTAAACTCCGTTATTTTTTGGGTATTGAGGTAGCCCAATCTAAAGATGGTTTGGTGATTTCTCAACGGAAATGCTATGGATATTTTGGAAGAAACAGGTTTGTTGAATGCTATGGATATTTTGGAAGAAACAGGTTTGTTGAATGCTAAACCAACTGATACTCATATGGATCCAAGTGTCAAACTACTACCCAATCAAGGGAGCCTCTATCTGACTCAGGAAGGTATAGGAGATTGGTTGAAAAGTTGAATTATCTCACAGTCACTTGTCCGGACATTTCTTTTGCAGTCAGTGTGGTAAGTCAGTTCTTAAATTCCCCTTGTCAGGAACACATGGATGCTATTATGCGAATTCTGAGATACGTCAAATGTGCTCTAGGAAAAGGTCTAGTATATGAAGATAAAGGACATACTCAAATAATTGGATATTCCGATGTTGATTGGGCAGGGTCACCCATTGATAGACGATTCACATTTGGATATTGTGTACTTGTTTGAGGAAACTTTATATCCTAGAAAACTAAAAAACAAAACGTTGTTGCAAGATCAAGCGTCAAGGCAGAGTATAGGGTCATGGCAATGGCAACATGTGAACTTATTTGGTTAAAACAGTTGCTCAAGAAACTTCAAATTGAATAAGCAAGACCAATGACACTTATTTGTGATAATCAAGCTGCATTGCACATTGCTTCAAATCCAATCTTCCATGAGAGGATCAAACATATTGAGATATACTTTCACTTTGTCAGAGAGATGATCGAGTCAGGTGACATCGTCACAAGCCTTGTCAACTCTAATTTTCAATTGGCTGACATGTTTACAAAATTCCTGCGAACCCCCAGAACTAATTATATATATAACAAGCTTAGTGCATTTGACTTATATGCTCAAGCTTAAGAGAGAGTGTCAATATTTGTAAATATATAGTGTTAAGAATATCTGTATGTAGAATAGTCTCACATCGACTATATCATGTAATTAGTTGTAATCTCTCTATATATAATAATATTTCCGTAGTGCTTTTCAAAACATATGATTTATTCAAATGTCTCTGTCTTTTATATTTCAACAATATGTATTAATTGGAATAGATTGTATATTGATTTATCATCCCTTAATCATGAATTCTCATCGTCATATACTCAATATAAATAAGAACAAGCTGAGAGCTAATCTCTAAAATCATTCAGTAGTAATGTTATTCTCAAGTTGGTAC